CACTCCAGGCCAGAAGGGGCTCCCTGATCACCCCCGCTAGTCACCCTGCAGAGGGAGGCAACCAGTGGCAATGGCGGGGGCGGAGCTGGCGAGGAGGTGGTGGCAGGCTGGCCAAAGGCAGTGCCAATGGGGGACCCCAATTGCCCCACCAGTCACCCCACAGATCGGCCCTAATCACTGGCTAAGCCTAGGGACCCTACCCGTGCACAAATTTCATGCAGCAAGCCTCTAGTATCTCAATAAAGTCTTTAAAAAGTTAACAGAATTTCTATTTTGCTATTACACTGGTTTCATTTAGTCAAATAGTCTGAGATGGAAATGAGCATTTCAGTAGTTACTATATTACTACTCAGAGGATTAAAATTTTACTGAAATGAAAATACCAATCTAGGTCATATTTGCACCAGCAATTTTCAAAACTAAATTTATAATCAAACCTTGTGATTTCCCCCGCCCCTGAAAATCTTTGCTAATCAAATGGCAATCTATAAAGGTAGTCTGAGCCACAAAAAGTTTTGCTTCTAAAGAGAACAGGAAGAAAGCTCTCTACCTCCACCAGGACAAAGAACTACGAAGGACATAACAAAAGTTTCCCTGAACAAACATTACTTAAAAAACCAAGAGACCAACAATAGCAGAAATTCCTAACTTGAGTAAACAACAGAGATGGCAGCAGAGAACAAACAGCTAGAAGCTATTGTGGGGCTCAACACACAACCATAGCTTCCAGTTTATATAAACCTGGGTTTTAAATCTTGGATAGGACTCAAACTACAAGTTGCATGAAAAAGACTTCCTGTTTTCAAGGTGAGATTACCTCTAGCACAAGTTAAGAAGGCAAATTTCTACATAACATTAGTCTGAATGCAAAACTATGTTTTATTTTTCTGATTTAAAAAATTTTCAATTACAGTTGACACAGAATATTTTATTAACCTCAAGGGTACAACATAGTGATTAGACATTTATATAACGTACGAAGTAAGTGCCCCAATTAAGTCTAGTACCCATCTGACACCATACACTAGTACAATTATTATAGTAGTATTGACTGTATTCCCTATGCTGCACTTTACATCCCATAACTGTTTTTATAACTAGAAATTTGATTTGTTTAAAAATATTTTTTTTATTGGAAGAGAGGAAGGGAGAGATAGAAACATCAATGTTGAGAATCATTGATTGGCTGCCTCCTGCATGCTCCCTACTGGGGATGGAGCCCACAACCTGGGCATGTCTCTGACCAGAATCAAACCATGACCTCTTGGTTATTAGGTCAACACTCCACCATTGAGCCACACAGAACGGGCTGATTATTTTTTGTTTTGTTTTTTTGTTAATCCTCATCTGAGGATATTTTTCCATTGATTTTTAGGGAGAGTAGAAGAAAGAGGGAAAGACAGAGAAAAACATCAATGTGAGAGAAACATATTGATTGGTTGCCTCCTCTATGAACTCCGACCAAAGCCTGGGCCAGGGAGGAGCCTGCAACCAGGATACTTGCCCTTGACTGGAATCTAACCTGGGACACTTTGGTCCACAGACCCATGATCTATCCACTGAGCCACACTGCCTAGGGCAAGGGCTGATTATTTTTTAATTAAAAAAAAAAGAAAACACTTCCCACTTAAATTCTTAACATATAAGATATGTAACTACTGTCTTCAAACTGAATTGTTTTCCATGGGGACAAACAACAATTTTTTCCTAAAGTCGATGAAATCTTTGATCTAAATTGCAGAAAATCACTTCATAACCAGCTTTGTAATTTGACACTTAAGTCCAAAGAGTGTTTTTCAAAATAGTACACAAGGAAAAAAAAGTTTTATAAAGTTTCTCTCACACTCCTACTTAAATTAATCCTTTTTAACTCATAAGGAATTATCATAAGAGTAATACAAACAAATTCTTAAGTAACTATTAGGAATCAGTAAAACTCCTTCCATTAGGGATCAAATTTGTGAATATAATTTTAAAGCAAAATTAGCTATCTTATTTCATTTGAGATAGAATGGACAGAGGGTCATCTCAAATTAATTATTAGGAAACGAGAGGCCTGGTGCACTGGCCTGCAGGGATCAGCTGAAACTGGCTCTCCAACATTCCTCAAGGGGTCCTGGATTAAAAGAGGGTGCAGGCCAGGCCAAGGGACCCCACTAGTGCATGATCAGGACCACATAGGGACTGTGGGAGGGCTCCAGGCATGTCCAAGCCATCTAGCCTAAGCCCGATCAGCCAGACCCCAGCAGCAAGTTAACCTACAGATCAGAATATCTGCCCCCTGGTGGTCAGTGCATGTCATAATGACCAGTCGAATGAATGGTCAAACACTTAGCATATTAGGCTTTTATTATATAGGATACTTTTGAAAAATAAAAATATTTTTTCTATTAATTTTAGGGGGAAAATAGGCTAATTGATGTATACTTCACTTTGACTTTAATTAGTGATAATCAAAATTATCGATTGTACTATAGTAGGAGGAGACCACTATAATAGCAACTATTATACTATAAACTTCAAAGCAATTGTTGACTATTTCATTTATGAACTAAAGTAAGAGTTTTTAAATGCCAGGTATGTACAGGATAATAATATACAAACTATACATATATCCATTCAATATTTGAATACCTTCTACATTCAGGAAGCTGGTCATTTTGCCCCTTTTTCTTGTAAAAGAATGACACCTTAGTAGATAGGTGCTTAACACATGCATTTTATGATAGCATTAGTGGCCTGGTGCACGGAATTTGAGCACATTAAAAAGGAATTAATTAGAGGAAATATTTTAATATTGTTATTTGCCCTTTCTCCATAATAGAAGTGCCATTGATGAAAGAAAATTAGCAAAATATATATGAAAATCTCCCTCTTGTCAGAATCTGGGGCATGCCACGGGACCCAGAGTCAAGTCCCCACGCACCAGTGTGCATCTCGAAATCATGTGAGACCCGGAACTGGCTGGCCCCACCCCTGTCAAGCCCCACAGGTCCCCCTGCCCCTGGCGCGAGGGCATGAGAGTACAAGGGTATGATGACCATTTGCATAGTAGCTCTTTATTATATAGGATGGTAGTTACAGATAACGTGGTTAACTTCAGCAGACATCTGTGTTACACATATGGCCATCAAAATAATTGTGGCATGCTTTTGTGACACTAAAAGAGGCCAAGCCTGTTGCAAAATGATTACTTTCAACAAAAACCTGCTTAAATTATTGTTTATTTAAATGGCATCTATCCAACATTACAGCATTATAAAGTTGCTATTGCATTTGAATCACTCACCAATCTTTAACCTATTTATAAAGCAAGGTAAACACCATTAGGTTATAAAAAGTAAATATGAACCAGTGTTTCTTTGAAAAAATTATTCTATTTGATCCAAAGTCTTGACTGCTCTCTTGACAGAATAATGTACATGCTCCACAGCTGACAGGGGTACGCACGCTTTCATGATTAAACAGAAAGCTCACGCTCCAGATGACTTTAGACTTTGCACTTCAGAAAGATTTCTTTGTTGTTTCAGCATCAGATCATTTGTTATCTTTTTCCAATTGTTTCTGTCCCCAAGCCAAAGAGAATCTATGTATTATTAAAAATACATAGATTTGTCATTTCTGACTATTCTATTTGTACAGTACACCAAAGAATATCACATAATCTTACAAGGCAAGTTCTTTTCCTGATTTCGTTTGGGGAGAGGAGGTGTTTCAGAACATAAAGAAAAGTTGATAATATATAATAAAATGAATATCTCCCCCTCCCCCAAAGTATTTTATTGACCTTTGCTAATTATAATTAACTGGGGACACCATATTCAAAACAATCTTCTAAAGGAAAGGGTTAACTTTATCTTGTGGCTTTCAGGGGTCATTTTTGCCCCTTTTTCTTGTAAAAGAGTGACACCTGGGAATTGAGAATTCTATACACCAAGAATAGTCATATCACAGCTGAAGCATCTAGCAAGGAGCAGTACTGGAAAGCACATAAAGCTATGTAAAAACCGATTCGCATAAGGAAATGCCCAGGACCAACGCCATGAGGATTCACTGCTGAGATGACAAGACCAGGGAAGGACACTTGCCAGCCTGAATCCGATTTCTCAGAAGCCAAGCTCTAAGGGAGCCGCTTCCCTCCACCAGACTGGCTGCTGAGTTATCTAAAATGCCTGCCACCTAAACGTGAAGGAGAAAAGAAAACAAAACAACCCGCTCCCAATTCCCACCACCTCTTAGTAGTAAGGTCCTCCTGGTTGCTAGGGCAAAAGGAGGGAGCGCAGAAGCCTCCTCCGTCAAGTTGTCAATAAGAGCCCAGCAAATGAAGGAAGTGGATCTCTGCCATCTCCCAGGCTTTTTGTTTGGGCTCTCTAGGTTAACAGTAGTCACTGCATTTTGAACGACCTACAAACAGAAGCCGTTATTACCGAGACGCTCTGAGAAAATGTGGACTTAAATGTGGGGAGCCAGCCAGCTGGCTTGCGGAAAGGGAAATGATTTTCTGTCCCAACGTAGCCGTGCCCAACGACGCGGCCAGGCAACACAATCACAACCGCCCAAGAAAACGTGTTTCAGCGCATGAACTCTTATTTACTTCCCCCAAGGATCCTATCAAGAAAAGGCAGAGGGAGATGGAGCCGTAGGCAGTCCATACATTCAATGCTGCGACTCCCTGGGAGCTGCAGGGGAGGGAGGGCGGGATGCTCTAGGAGGAGGCCAAGGTTGAGAAGGTTCTTGGCCTCCGATGCAGCACCGTGGGTTGCAGCTGAGAGTTGGTGCGTGGACTATCTTTTGAGACATCAAACTTACTTTCCTTTAGGAGGGGACTCCAAGTTCACCCACAACTGCCACGTCCGCCCTCTACCTGCGCGCAGGAGTGCGGGGGGGAAAGGGTGGGCTTCTTCCCACCGCGCGAAGACCCGGCACCCCTCCCAAAGCCGGGGACCCCCTTCCTCCCCCCGACTGCCAAACCCCCGAACACGCCCCCTTCCTGTGCCTACCTTGATGCCCTGCTGCTGGGTGGTGAGGGTTAACTTGGACTCATCCAGGAGCAAAACTTCGCAGTAAAATTCCTCGGGCACCGCGCAGAAGCAGCCCATGTCGGCGGCGGCGGTGTCCAGCCGGGCGAGAGAGCTGCGACCCAAGCGCGCAGCCGCCCCCTCCTCCCCTCAATCAAGCCCGAGGCGTTAATGCATTGTCCGCGCCGGGGCCAGGGCAGCAGGAACGGCTGTCGGCGAGGTCCGGGGCGGGCGGCTCAGAGGGCGGAGAAGCCCGGAGATCAGCGCCCGGGAGCAGCCGGGGCAGCGCCTGCGGACCTGGGTGCGGAGCGCGGCGGCGGCGCGCCCCGGCACATCCTGCGGCTCCGGCTCCTCCGAAGGCCGGGACGCCGCGCCCCCTCCCGCCGCAGCCCTGGGGAACGCAGAAGTCTCCCGGCAATTGGGGGGCCAGCGGCAAGGTACGGGAGGGACGAGAGCTCGAGGCCCTCCCCAGACTTGGATGCTCCTGGGAGCTCTAAAGACCCCTCCGCCCGCGCACCACCGGAGCGCGGCCGGGGCGCATCGACCTCCTCCTCCCGGCCTGCGGAGCACCCAGAGGGCACGCCCTTGCAGCTCCGCTTCCCACCCCGCAAGTCCCGGTCCGGTCCGGTCCGGTCCGCCGACGGGGGAGCGCTGGGCTGTTCCTTTGTGTCACGGGCACCCACGACGTCCCGGCAACAACACCGGGATCATCCCTTCCCGGTCCGCGGGCACCCAGGAGCCCGGAGGCGGTCGGAACGGGCAGCGGGTTCCTACCGAGACCAACGGTGAGTAGAGGTCAGCCCGTCGCGCAGGGTGGCTTCAGGGCGGGGAGCCCCGCGCTCATCGCGGAGGACCGTGTAGAAGGGCCAAGTTCAAGCTCTCCCTTCGAGAATCCCCGGATCCGCGGCGGGGGGCAGCTTCCCCGGGAGTTTCAGAGGGAGGACTTGCCTCCGGGCCCCGGGGCTGGGAATGCGGCGGGCGGGCGGGGGTGCGCCCTGGGGCGCCAGGCCCCGGCGGCTCCGGGGAAAGTTCTCACCGGCGCTCGAGGTGCGGCTCCCCGGGCGGGAGCAGCCCAGGGTCGGCTGGGTCCGCCCCGGCGTTCGCAGAAGGACCTCTGCAAGAGCCTAGCGAGGACCGATCCGATCCGCCGGCCGGGGGCGCCCCTTCTGGGCGGGGTCTCGGCGGGGGGCGGAGGGCGGAGCGGAGGTAGGCGAATGGCGAGGTGCCCACAGGTCCGCCCGGCGATCCGCGCCCGGCGCCGGAGCCACGAGGCCGCCCGGAGCCCCGGCCCTTCGCGCAGCGTCCGTTTCCCGGGGAGACGGGGAGGCGGGCTCGGCGGGGGCCGGGCGCATTCCTGCGCGGACCCTGGCTCTCCGCGCCCTGGCCCCACGCCCTCCGCGCGGACGGCGTGTCCGGAACTGGCGGGCACGACAGCGCTGAGGCTGCAGTGACCCCTGGTGGGTCCTCGAGTTCGTGCACGGACCGCCCGGCCGAGCAGCCTCCCAGCAGGTGCAATCCGTGCGCTCCCGCTGGGAACCCGCGTGGAGTTCATTAACGCGCGTCCCCGTGGTTCCTGGAGACGCGCGGGAGGACACGGAGGCGCGTTGAGGGCAGGCCTCCCAGAAAACTCTGTAATTCCGTCTTAGGAAGTGCAAGAGCTTTGGCATCAGACATAGTTTTGAGTTCCAAGCTTAGGTAACCAAAGCTCAAAAAAAAAAAAAAAAATGCTTAAAATGCCTTAAAAATAGTACCTTACACATAAACTAATGACAATTTTAAAGCTGGCAACGGCAGCGCGGTAGAACGGAAATGAACAATTTGTGACTTGGGAGGGAGTTTCCTTCCATAGTGAACTGCCACAAAGAACCGTCTGTGAGAAGCCCTTTTCCCCGCTGTAGTAGCTCCATCTAAACATGAAGAGCACACACAACCCCCCAGAGGGCCATGCAAATCTGCCATGTTTGGTATGAACTTTACGTAAAGCTGTGAATCAAACCGATTTGATCTCCCAGGCTTTCTGTGAAATGGAAGCAGGTTTTGAGTTTCTAATCAAATTTCTCTGTTCAACTTCGGGTTGTATTGTCCAAGTTTTGCCTGACGTGAGCTGACACCTTATTTATTCTGGGTTTAGCATCTTTGCTTGTGAGGGCTTTTCTTTTTCTGTAATATAATACTGGCACAAATTGCCAAAAGGGATTGAAAATTTTCGTAGCGGATTTTTATTCATTATTATAATATTCAGTAGAGCCTCCTTAGTTTGCAAAAGCAAAAGATAGGGCCAGGTGTAATCGTTTATTTCTTAGTTTTGGGTCTTGTTGCCACCTGTTTTATGTCCTCTGATTCTGGAAGGTTTTGTTTTACCTTTAATAGTGATGGAAAAGCTGGGGCTTGGGGGTGAGGAGGCAGTTCTGTTCCAGGCTCCTCACAATGAAGAGTACAACGCCATGAAACCCTGTACAGATGACAAACTTTTCCTCGTGAGGCAATTTCTTTCTCATTTCTTCATCAGGGATAGAGAAAAGAAAAAGAAAAATCCATTTAACAGAAATTGGAGTTTCCTAGAAATAATGGGAAGATTCCACAGGCTAAAATAATAACAATGTTAATGAGCCATTGATATATACAATAAACTGCATATATTTATAGTAAAATTTGATACATTTTGATCTATGTATACACTCATTAAACCATCACCAAAATTAAGCTAGTGAATATATTCTTCAACCATAAAATTTCCTTCTGTAATTTATGAAAACTTCCTCCTGCTCCTCGCCACACCTCACCTTCCAGATAACCCCCAATCTGCTTTTTGTCACTCAATTTTCTGTATTATCTAGAGTGTTATACAAATGGAATCATGCTATCAACTCTTTTTTTGGGGGGGGCGGGGGAGGTCTGGTTTGTTTTGCTCAGCATAATTATTTTGAGATTTATCCATGTTGTGGGTATCAATCGTTTATCCATTTGAATTGCTCAGTAGTATCTATCTATATAAAAGCCTACATGACTGTCACAACTGAACAGGCTGCACAGGGTGACCCGGCTAGTAGGCAGGCTAGTGAAGGGCAACCAAATGACTGAGCAGCAGGCTGTGTGGGGCGACCAGGCCGGTGGGGTGGGGGGAGGCAGCAGGGGGCAACCAGGCTGACGGGGGGAGCGGGGAGATAATTGGGGGTGACCAGGTCAGCAGGGGGGGCAGTTAGGGGCGACCAGGCAGGCAGGCAGGCAGGCGAGCAATTAAGAGCCAGCAGTCCAGGATTGTGAGAGGGATGTCCGACTGCAGCCTAAACCAGCAGTCGGACATCCTCCAAGGGGTCCCTGATTGGAGAGGGTGCAGGCTGGGCTGAGGGACCCCCCTGGCCCCATGCATGAATTTCATGCACCGGGCCTCTAGTTCATTTATATGTACCTACAACAATTGTTTACCATTTATTTGTGTACTAGTAATTTCCAATTTTTCACTATTACAAATATTATAAGTATTACAAATCTTGCTCTGAGGATTGTACTAGTAAACTCAGGTTGCCATAACAAAACACCATAGGCTAGATGACTTTAACAACAGACACTTATTTTCTCACAATTTTGGATGCTGCAAGTCCAAGATCAGGTGCCAGCATAGTCACTTTCTGGTGAAACCTCTCTTCCTAGCTTGTAGGTGGATGCCAGCCCACTGTGTCTGCTTCTTTGTTGGGAAGTGTGAGGGGAACTGTGATTCTTCTTCTTCTTCTTCTTCTTCTTCTTCTTCTTCTTCTTCTTCTTCTTCTTCTTCTTCTTCACAGAGAGGAAGGGAGAGGGATAGAGAATTAGTAACATCGATGAGAGAGAAACATCAAACAGCTGCCTCCTGCATATCTCCTACTGGGGATGTGCCCACAACCAAGCTACATGTCTTTGACTGGAATCAAACCTGGAACCTTTCAGTCCGAAGGCCGACGCTCTATCCACGAGCCAAGCCAGTTAGGTGGTGTTTCTTCTTATAAAGACACTAAACCTTTTGTATCAAGATCCCACCCTTATCACTTCATTTAATCTTAATTATTTCCTTATAGGCCCCATCTCCAAATACAGACACATTGGGGGCTAGAGATTCAACCTATAAATTTGGCGGGGACACAGCTCAGTCTATAACAAGGATCCATGTCTTTGTATGAACATTTTACTTCTTTTGAAATTAAAAAAAAAAAAAGAGTGGAATAATTGGGTTAGAAGATATATAAATGGAAAATAAGCCCAGGAGAAGATGCTCAACATCATTGGTGATTAGGGAAATTCATATTAAAATCACCATAAGAGACACCTGCAGGTCTAGTAGAATGGTCACCATACCAAGCTCCCGCACCTCCATACCAAGTGTTGGTGAGAATGAGGGAAAGTTTGTGTATGCATACACTGCTGGTGGGAATGAAAATGGTACGACCACTTTGGATAATACTTTGACACTTTCTTAAAAAGTTGAACATATAAACATATATCTTCCACAGAGTTTTGGAGAAAGACTTTTTCTGACTATGCAGAGAAATAAATTGACAAGATATTCAAACACACCCCACCGCCCCTACCCCTAGAAAAATCATATAGTTTTCCAACATGTGCATAACATAATACAGTCTCTTTAAAGCCTGTGTCAAAACCTTTGATCTCTTTTAAGAGATTTTTTTTTATAAAAATATTTTCTTTGGTTAAGATGACATTTTGTCATAATAAGCCTATGTAGATGAGTCAAATGACAAACAAACTGAGAGTAGATACAATTTTATGGAAATATGTAGACCATCTGTGAAGGACTGTAGGAATTCTCAGCCTGGAAAAAAAGCAATTTGATTTCACATAAAACAGGCCCCCGTCCATTGCAGAAACATGCATTTCACATCGCCAGATACAGAATTCTGTGTAAAGCACTATATTCTATTTAGGAAGATGTCTTTAAACAATCCATGTCTTCCGTCTTTTTTTTTTTTTTTTTAATACTTTTTGTATTTTCCAAACTTCAGAAAGTTAACTGTAATTTGAAACAGGAAAGAATGCCATGAAAACATTGACTGTAAAATAAGTAAACAATCGAATTACTTAAAACACCG